TTCCTATCGACCCAGTAAGGCAAGCAGGCTAGTCTCTTTTTATTGGTATGTAACTGTTATGAAAGTTGTATTGTCAATTTGTTTTGTATTTAAAACGGCACTTTAAACGTGTACATGACACTGCAACAAAATGTCCCCATGGGGACAATAAAGTCAGTAAAGAAGAGAGGTCATTCCCAACTACCAGGGGCACGCCCTATACATACAGACTTTAGAATGGCCGACCCACCCTCAAATGTTTGTCTCAGCAGACTTGCATAAGAAGTATACCTCCATTGACTGTCTAGAGGGGCCTGTTCTTTGAGGAGAATGAAATAAGGCACGCTCCAGATTACGTCCCAGTGCACAACCAGGGGAACCTCACGGCCGTGTGTCTGACTGACCACAATCCCATGGGAGACATTCCCATCAAGCACCTCACCACCATTCTTGATCTGCTGGTGGAGATCAGGTACAACGCCAGGGATGAAGCAGACTTTGACTTGTATTACGTTCTGAACGACTGCATCTTCAAGGTGCATAGGAGAACCTTCTACGCCTCCCTGGTGGGGAAGTACATTCATTCTAACCATCTGGAAGAAATTGAGAAATTCACTGATGCTTTCTGAGACCAGAAGGAGCACTATTCCCTCCAAGAGCTTAGACAGGGCCTCAAGGCGTCCGAATTCAACAACTTCTGCCGCCAGACGTTCCAGCTGCAACGATGTATACGGGACTGCGAGCGCTGGGGCCACTACTTCATGGCTGCCATGTTCTCTGCATCTGGCCAAAACTTTCGCACCTTCTCGCTCTTCCTCATGAGCTACACGCTACACGAGGTCCTGTGTAGCTCAGTTGGTAGAGCATGGCGCTTGCAACGCCAGGGTTGTGGGTTCGATTCCCACGGGGGGCCAGTATGAAAAAATGTATGCACTCACTAACTGTAAGTTGCTCTGGATAAGAGCGTCTGCTAAATGACTAAAATGTTAAATGTAATTGCATGCAAGGTGGGCTGATCCCAAGGCTCTGACAGCTTGTTCTGCACAGCCTTTGTTGGGGATGACCACTGAACGAGAGTGACCCGGCTCTACATATTTGACTGGTTTGTGACTCACTGACACTGCCCCCGGTTAGAGGGGAATAAAGCAGTCCAAGAGTTAACACACACACAGGAACTTTAACCACACACAGCAGAAGATGAATATGGGGATGTACATGGGTATGGCACTCACTCCATCCCTCAAGTCCAGAGATATGAGTCCAGTTGTTGATGGGCAGAGACAGAGATGTTGCTCTCTGCCACTGCTTGAGGGAGACTGCAAGTATTGTGTGACCTGCAGAGTCAAGAGGATGGGCAGATGTCCAGCCCCTTAGTAACCTCCCTAGCAACCTATCAGGGAACAGGGCATTCAGGTCAGAGAGAGTTTGAGAGGCAGGTTTATGGTACCATCTAGACTCTCAGGCTCTGGTCCTGGGGGATAGGGAGTGGAATGTCCAGCTCAAGGTTGTGAGGTGCTGATAACAGTCACCAGCAGATAATTTGTAATTGCCACCCCTAAATTTGAGCAGCATATTTACAAAACAAGGAATTCCCTGCCGGAATGTCAGTCTAGAGCCCGCTGGGCCCAAGGACGTTACGGCCATCCCGTGTGGCCACCCCATCAGAGGCAGGCAAGTCCCCCAGTGCAGGAACAAGAGGAGGCCCCAGGGCAAATGTGATGGGTGATTTGAAGGAGTCAGGCGCAGGAGGGTACATCACAGAATACAGAGTTTATTCCAGAATTCAGAGTTATGCAGGATAGCATCAAACAGTCCAGTGCGCAAAACAGGCGCACTGGAATAAAACAGGTACATGGGAAAAATATACCCCCGCAATACAAAATACATGTGGCTCAACTGAGCTACTCTCTCCTCACATTAAACAATCACCCACAAGGACAAGGGGGCAGAGGGAACACTTACACATGTACTAATGAGGGGATATGAACCAGGTGTGTGTAATAGACAAGACAAAACAAATGGAATGATGAGATGTGATGCGGCAGTGGCTAGAAGGCCGGTGACGACGAACGCCGAAGCCGGCCCAAACAAGGAGAGGAGTCGTGATAGTCCCCCCCCCCCCCTTGACGTGCAGCTCCAGCAGCGCACCAACACCGGCCTCGGGGACGGCCAGGAGGACGCGGAGCAGGGCGAGCTGGATGGCGACGGTGGAAATCGAGGATCGAGGATATCCCTCACTGGGACCCAGCACCGTTCCTCCGGACCGTCCCACTCCACGAGGTACTGAAGGCCCCCCACCCGACGCCTCAAATTCAGGATGGAACGGACGGAGTACACCGGGGCCCCCTCGATGTCCAGAGGAGGCGGAGGGACCTCCCGCACCTCAGACTCCTGGAGCGGACCAGCCACCACCGGCCTGAGGAGAGACACATTAAACGAGGGGTTAATACGATAATCATGGGGAAGTAATAACCTATAAGTAACCTCTCCTCAGGCCGGTGGTGGCTGGTCCGCTCCACCGTTGCCATCCGGTTCGCCCTGCTCCGCGTCCTCCTGGCCATCCCCGAGGCCGGTGTCGGCACTGGTGGAGCTGCGCGTCAAGGTGGGGGTACTGTCACGACTTCCTCCGGAGCTGTCTCCTCCTTTACCATGGTTGGAGTCGGCCAAATAAGCACGGCTGAAATGCGATCTCCCTCCATCTCCACACCTGAGGTTGTAATGCGGTATCCGAGGAAGGAGACGGACTGTTGGAAAAACAGACACTTTTCTGCCTTGGCATAAAGTCATTTTCCAATAGTCCGGCCAGCACTTTGCGAACCAGGGACACATGCTCGGCGCACGTAGCGGAATACACCAGAATGTCATTGATGTAGACCACTACACCGCGACCAAGCATGTCCCGAAACACCTCGTTCACAAAGGACTGGAAGACGGATGGAGCATTCATCAAACCGTAAGACATCACCAGGTATTCATAATGCCCCGTGGTTGTGCTGAATGCTGTCTTCCACTCGTCCCCCTCTCGGACTCGAACCAGGTTGTACGCAATCCGGAGATCTAATTTGGTATCATATTGTCTCCTTGTTCAGTGATCAATAATCAATGCAAGAGCGCAGACTGCCGTCTTTCTTCTTCACAAAAAATAAACTTGAGGAGGCGGGCGAAGTGGAGGGACATATAAACCCCTGGCACAGGGACTTGGTGACGTATGTCTCCATAGCCTCCGTTTCAGCCTGTGACAGGGGATACACATGACTCCTGGGAGGCACAGCGTCTACCCGGAGGTTTATCGCGCAATCCCCCGCCCGATGAGGTGGTAACTTGGTCGCCTGCGTTTTTGAAAACGTGTGCGCCAAATCGAGGTATTCAGGGGGGATGAGGACGATGGAGGTACTCTCTGGACTTTCCACCGTGGTTGCACCAACGGAAACACAGAGACACCTACCCTGACACTCTCGCGACCACCCTGTGAGAACCCTCTGCGGCCATGAGAAGGTGGGGTTGTGGAGTGCTAACCAAGGAATACCTAATACAACTGGGAAAGCAGGAGACTCAATAATAAAAAAAAAGTGACTTGCTCGCGATGAGTCTCGTGGGTAACCATAGTGACTGGTGCTGTAACTTCCCTAACAAACCCGGACCCTAATGGTCGACTGTCAAGTGCTCTGATGGGGACTGGAATGGATAGGGGAACCAATGAAATGCCTAGACTGTGTGAGAATGACCTGTCCATAAAGTTCCCAGCTGCGCCTGAATCGACTAGCGCCTTACACTGGGGAACTACAATGTGATTGGAAAGTGGATGGGTAGGGTACAGTGTGCAGCAGAGGGCTCTGAACGAGTGTGGGTGTAAGATACCTGGGGTGACGCGAGAGTGCCCTGCCTGCCGCCTCCAGACCCAAAAGAAGGCTGAGGACATTGTGCGGTGAAATGTCCTCTCGTGCCACCAGAGTGACACGTCCTCTGGCCGCCAGCAGGTTGTCCAAGCGGATGGCCATGTCCACCAATTGAGGGAAGGACAACATGGTGTCCCGGCAGGCTAGGTCCCTTCGGACGTCCTGCCGCAGATGGCATCGGAAGTGGTCGATGAGGGCCCGCTCATTCCACCCGGACCCAGCTGCTAGAGTCCGGAACTCCAGGGCGATGTCCTGCGCGGTCCTTGTCTCCTGCCTCAGGTGGACCAGCCGCTCGCCCGCCTCTCGACCCTCGGGCGGGTGATCGAAGACAGCTCGAAAGAGGCGAGCGAACTCCCCGTAGTTGTCCAACGCGGCTCCTCCTTCATTCCAGACCGCGTTGGCCACTCCAGGGCTTTCCCCGAGAGGCAGGAGACGAGGGCGGACACCTTCTCCCGCTCCGATGGGGCCGGGCTGATGCTGAAATAATAGAGCTCCAGTTGGAGGAGGAATCCTTGGCAGAGAGCAGCTGTCCCATCGAAATCCCTTGGTCGGGATATATGGATCCCTCTGAGTGCTGGGGTGAAGCATAATGTGACTGTGAAAAACTATATTGCTGATTTAGGAAGATACCATTGCTCTTAGCATTGGGGTTTGTAGTTCAGAATTTTTTTATGGCATTCTCCATACAGGGATTCACTGGACTTGCTAGCACTCATGCAAAAATAATGCTTTCTAATAGCTGTCATGGAAGAATGCTAATCTACAAACGGAACGTTTAGATAAGACATTCCCATTGAACAATTTAAAATAAACAGATTAATTAGACAATGTGATGTTCATAGGTTGTATGAAAATGTGTAATAGGTGCCATTTGCCCAATAGACTTAATTTGCCTAAATTATAACACTGTGGTAAGAGTGTAACAATTACACACTGAATACGATATGTGTGCTGTATAGTGGTGACAACCATTCACCTTCTAGTTGATACACTGAAATATGTATTGGATTATTATTTTGTTTCATCACAAAATGTATTTTGTGAAATGCTTATCTGTCAGTGGGTAATATGTTGATTAATGATTAAAGTGATAATTCAACATAAATAAAAAAACGGAGCTCACCATTGTTACAATTTATTTTGATCTTTATTATATAATTTCTTGTCATGTTTTAGTATGTTATCACAAGGGCCAGAATAAAGAGAATTACAAAATATAAATACAAAACTGCAATACCACAGTGGGGAAAACATTGTTTAAGGAAACATGCTATGGGCACTCTGCAACACCAGTACTGTATGTATGTGGACTATTGGTGGCTCAAAGGAGCTTTCCACTAACGTGTAATGCCATGTGTAAATACATGTTTTATTTCTTTATTTCTTTATTGTCTAGCACCTAAATCTTGCACATGGCTTTCTGATTTCACTTTGGGTCATATGTCATCTAAGGATTATTTGTAGCGGTTAGACTGGTAGTAGGCCTATAGGAAAGTCTTCAGGGTTTGAGAATGGGGATATTTCAATAGAAGGGATATTTGGATGGAAACACCACCACTGATAACAATAAGGGAGTACAAAAAAATCCTGTAAACCAAGTGGCATAGAGCTAAGAGATGAGCACTGCTGGCATGGAGCACTACCAAGCATGGAGAATGTACATAAGAGGCCTGTAGTGGAAGGGGTGAGGACTATGTGAGTGTCCAGGGTTGGATGGGAGCAGTGGGGTGAGAAGGGGTACTGACACTGGGTGGCATACTATAAGGCTGTCTGGTTCCCCCTAGCTCACACCACCGTCAGAAGGCATGGTCTTCACAGAAGCACACAGTCGCACTTGGACACCTTCTCGCTGCTGAGTCGACCATACTGTGTGGTGGCCAGTGACTGGATCAAGCCCCAGAAGTGCTTGAAGGTAATTCCCTCGCCGTCCGGCACACCCATCTGTTTCATCACTTCGCCCAGGCCCTGCTCTGAGCCTCCAGTCTGGGGGACGGAGGGAGCACAAAAAACAACTTCACTATATGTACACTGTATTTAACTTACTGACAGTTAATAAGCAATTAAGTAATTATGCATAGACATGTATTAGCAGGAAGTTAGCAATTAGTCTATTACACTTTTGAGCGAATAACATTGTTGCCTTACATTACTCAGTAGGTGATATTCTTAACTACTAATATCTTCATCGGTAATTATTGTATCAATAATTCAACTGAATAACTCCAGTAAACATGTTTGACTTCATAATCCACTATTGGCCTCTCTTCAACTGTAATGTATGCAGCTGAATAAACACAGCATGTGTATACTTTGTCAATTAACTGTGTCAATGTTTCAGGCTTTGCTAACCTCTAGTGGGTATAGATCCATGGCCCTTTTTCATTTGTATCGATATTTTCATATAGCAACTTTTCTTTGTTTGGTATTCTAGAGGTAATAGTCCCCTGTAGCTCAGTTGGTAGAGCATGGCATCTGCTAAATGACTAAAATGTCAAATGTAAATGTAATCAATAGCAGTATCTGGGTAGCCAATCTTATCTACAGTCATTTCATTCTGAAATGTTATAAAGCTGTCAGGCAGGCAGATGCAAACACAGTGGATCTTTCTGTCTGCTGGAAACAATAGGAAATTGATTTGGGAAAATATATCCTGTCCTGAACGCTGCTCCACAGCTGAGATAATATAATGAGCTGTTTGCAATGGAATCCCATTTGAATTATGTGATCATTACTTTTTCTTTTAAATAGATTCTGGTTTTATATAAGTCTAAGACTGGACGTAATGAAAAACATATGGACTTCGTAATTAAGCATATTATTTACTTCAACAGTTGTGTATTCTGCCCCCTCTCCTTAACCTCATTTGCCTTTCACAACAAATGAACAAATATTTCCTAGCTGTTGTGGCTAACTATTGTGTAGCAGATATACTCTACTTGGTTGTTGAGTTTATGGTGGATGAAGTCGACTTGGTGCAAGGAGTCATATTACAATTACAGTTTTTTTCCTGATCTATTCATAATGAAAACGGTTATTTATTTATCTGTCCGTTTGTTTTTCCCCCTCTAGATGAGCGAACAACCTTGAGCCTTCCTCACTTGCTCATGTATTTGAACTGGCCTTTTCCTGTTTTTCAGAAGCATCGCTATCTTTGTCACCCTCTGGTAGATTTAGACTCATCCTGGAAAACTGCCTTGGGCCTCAGACAACTAAGCAGCCAGTTCCAAAATGAAGACAAAGCAAGATACTTTGGCCTTTTCAGTGATTCAAATAAAGCATCTGTCAGATTAAAATAAAGCATGTTTAAAACTCAGTTGGTGACTGAGCACACAGTATATTACAGCAAATTTTGGATTTGCATTGAACCTGGCAACCGATGCCTCAAAGCTTTTCCTGAGTGTTGGTTTGTGAGTTATAGGAGGTGGTGTTTACTGTATGTTTGTGGCTGAGTGGGAGGGTAGTAAGAGTCAGAGGCACGCCTCCTACTGGTAGAATCAATGGGAGGTGTGGCCTGGGAGGGTGGGGGCAATGTAACCGACCATTGCAGTTTACGTACATTAACTAAGTTGGGCAGCTGGGAGGATAGGAGGCCTTTGAACTCTTCGGTTTGGAGCGTGGGACCGTTATTGGCCGCAGCGGCATGGAACTGTGTGACCAAAGTGTTGATGGCATTTTCCAGGTCTGAGTGCTGCGCCAGAGGAGGAGAAAAAAGGGGAATCAAATAATATAACAATAAGAAAAGCATCCTCTGACAGTCCTTTGAAGTTAGTATGTGACGTTTATTATTATAATAGATCATTAAGAAAGAAAGAAAGTTAACATATTCAAAGTGTACCGACCTCCACTCAATTTAGTCCCAAATACCCAAAAAAATTCAGACACACTCACATCCGTTCTCAAGTGCATATCTTGCATGCCTCCACGTGTCGGAAGTCTACGCAAAGATGGCACTCTGATGTTTAACCCTGTCCTTGAGTGACTTCATCTCAGGCCATCAGATAAAGCCCTGTTCTAACAACACTGCAGCATTCTTGTTCAGTTAATTAACTTGTGTTTGTATCACACATTTCACAGTATCAAATCAAATCAAATCAAATTTTATTGGCCACATGCGCCGAATACAACAGGTGCAGACATTACAGTGAAATGCTTACTTACAGCCCTTAACCAACAGTGCATTTATTTTTAATAAAAAAGTAAAATAAAACAACAACAAAAAAGTGTTGAGAAAAAAAGAGCAGAAGTAAAATAAAATAACAGTAGGGAGGCTATATATACAGGGGGGTACCGGTGCAGAGTCAATGTGCGGGGGCACCGGATAGTTGAGGTAGTTGAAGTAATATGTACATGTGGGTAGAGTTAAAGTGACTATGCATAAATAATTAACAGAGTAGCAGCAGCGTAAAAAGATGGGGTGGGGGGGCAGTGCAAATAGTCCGGGTAGCCATGATTAGCTGTTCAGGAGTCTTATGGCTTGGGGGTAGAAGCTGTTGAGAAGTCTTTTGGACCTAGACTTGGCACTCCGGTACCGCTTGACGTGCGGTAGCAGAGAGAACAGTCTATGACTAGTGTGGCTGGAGTCTTTGACAATTTTGAGGGCCTTCCTCTGACACCGCCTGGTATAGAGGTCCTGGATGGCAGGAAGCTTGGCCCCAGTGATGTACTGGGCCGTACGCACTACCCTCTGTAGTGCCTTGCGGTCGGAGGCCAAGCAGGCGGTGATGCAACCAGTCAGGACGCTCTCGATGGTGCAGCTGTAGAATTTTTTGAGGATCTGAGGACCCATGCCGAATCTTTTCAGTCTCCTGAGGGGGAATAGGCTTTGTTGTGCCCTCTTCACGACTGTCTTGGTGTGTTTGGACCATGATAGTTTGTTGGTGATGTGGACACAAAGGAACTTGAAGCTCTCAACCTGTTCCACTACAGCCCCGTTGATGAGAATGGGGGCGTGCTCAGTCCTCTTTTTTTTCCTGTAGTCCACAATCATCTCCTTTGACTTGGTCACATTGAGGGAGAGGTTGTTATCCTGGCACCACACGGCCAGGTCTCTGACCTCCTCCCTATAGGCTGTCTCATCATTGTCGGTGATCAGGCCTACCACTTGTTGTGTCGTCGGCAAACTTAATGATGGTGTTGGAGTCGTGCCTGGCCATGCAGTCATGGGTGAACAAGGAGTACAGGAGGGGACTGAGCACGCACCCCTGAGGGGCCCCCGTGTTGAGGATCAGTGTGGCAGATGTGTTGTTACCTACCCTTACCACCTGGGGGCGGCCCGTCAGGAAGTCCAGGATCCAGTTGCAGAGGGAGGTGTTTAGTCCCAGGATCCCTAGCTTAGTGATGAGCTTTGAGGTAGGTATTCCTCTAGTCCAGGTGGGAAAGGGCAGTGTGGAGTGCAATGGAGATTGCATCATCTGTGGATCTGTTGGGGCGGTATGCAAATTGAGTGGGTCTAGGGTTTCTGGGATAATGGTGTTGATGTGAGCCATGACCAGCCTTTCAAAGCACTTCATGGCTACAGACATCAGTGCTACGGGTCGGTAGTCATTTAGGCAGGTTATCTTAGTGTCCATGGGCATGGGGACTATGGTGGTCTGCTTGAAACATGTTGGTATTACAGACTCAGTCAGGGAAATGTTGAAAATGTCAGTGACGACACTTGCCAGTTGGTCAGCACATGCTCGGAGTACACGTCCTGGTAATCCGTCTGGCCCTGCGGCCTTGTGAATGTTGACCTGTCCAGTATCATTGTCATGGAAAGCTTAGTGGTCAACCAAAAATTGTGAGAAATAATATGCTGAGTGAAAAGTTATACTCCAACAAGATCAGTTATACTTCTAGGTTGCAAGTCACCTGTTTAAAAAGTAGACATTATGTTTTGCAGTGGCATATGAAACTGTGTCACACAGACTGGTTATGTTGGTCATTGTGAAGGACATCATTCAATACTCTCTTTAAACCAAGAACCAAACACCCAATCTATTGTAGCTGACGGGTTTTTATTCAAACTACTTTTTATTTATATCCTAAATCACCAACATTAAATAACTGTAAAGGAATTTTGTTATGTCACTCACCCCTATTCAAATTGATATTTGAATATGCTATTGAAATGTGGGCGATCTGTGAGTTGGGCAAGGAGGAGTAAGCTTAAGTAACGAGAGACTGAGTGGCCTACTGGTATTTGAAGGCAAATTCAGACAACTTGTCTACATGGAGAAGGTACTTGAAATACCTGCAGGTTGGGGTAGCTATGACAGCTCACCCTGTCACTGTTTATCTTCAGGGTGTGCCAGGGGCGGATGGGCCATCTGGCATTTCGGGCAAATGCCAGATGGGCTGGTCAATATTTTGCCTATTGGGGCTGTCTAACTTAGGTTTTTCACGCAAAATGATCTGGCTAATAATGGAGGCCTCAAGTGGAAAAATGTACCAGTGTGGAGGCCTTGGGGAAAAAAATAGGCCGGTGTGGGGGTCTCAAGGGGCAGGTGTGTTAGAAATGCCAGGGACGATTTCTGGTCCCAGTCTGTGCCTGGGGCGTGCACAAGAACCTTGGGCAACAGGGAAAGGAATCAGTGGTGACTTCAAACTCTATTTACCTATATCCTAAACACTAAACCAAATTCATTGAGACATCCATTTCAGTTGTCATTGTAGGAAATAATAAAGAATAAAAAGCCTTACTCACTAGGACTAGGCTACCATAAAAGTGTTGTTTTAGGCCAACTACAGTGTTCCATTTGATGATGTTTCCACAGATAGCTCACTGCACCCAACAAATATCATAAAATGGATACAGTAGGCAACAATGGTAAGGCGCTTGCTCGCCGACGGTGAGTATCTCATTCTGTCTGTCTGTCTTTCTGTTTGTCTAGCTGTCATCCTTCAAACAGTAGTCTATCTCCAAAGAAGGTCTCTGTGTCATAGGCCATTGGGACAGAATAAGAAGAGACTGATTGACTCCCGGTGCTTTTCATTTCCACACACAGTCTCTGTCTATAGACACAACTGAGAATAGCTCCTTGCTCCATAGTCACCATATGGCCTGGATTCATTTGTCATTGTCCATTATTTTCTGCTGTTCCAGCATGCGCACTGATCACTGCATTGAAATTATTAGTTATAAACTTGTGTTAAGCTGGCAAGAGTGCAAGGTAAGTAGGCTATGTGCAAACGTGCCTATAGGACTTATAGGACTAAGGTCGATGTCCGCGCCCCCGTGGAAATCAAATTAGCATAATAAAAAAATCCCCATCAAAATCCATCAGTTTAAGCTAGAGACAAAGATTTGTATAACTAAACCAAGATAGACCACAGCCTGTTGTTTCCAATTGGAACAAATGAGTCAGAGTGGGCAGAACAAGCAAGGAGGTGGGCAGAGCTAAGCACAAGCTAGCGAGATCCCATAGGCGCGTTCTAGCATACAGTGGGGAAAAAAAGTATTTAGTCAGCCACCAATTGAGGCCTGTAATTTTCATCATAGGTACACGTCAACTATGACAGACAAATTGAGAATTTTTTTTCCTGAAAATCACATTGTAGGATTTTTAATGAATTTATTTGCAAATTATGGTGGAAAATAAGTATTTGGTCAATAACAAAAGTTTCTCAATACTTTGTTATATACCCTTTGTTGGCAATGACACAGGTCAAACATTTTCTGTAAGTCTTCACAAGGTTTTCACACACTGTTTCTGGTATTTTGGCCCATTCCTCCATGCAGATCTCCTCTAGAGCAGTGATGTTTTGGGACTGTCGCTGGGCAACACGGACTTTCAACTCCCTCCAAAGATTTTCTATGGGGTTGAGATCTGGAGACTGGCTAGGCCACTCCAGAACCTTGAAATGCTTCTTACGAAGCCACTCCTTCGTTGCCTGGGCGGTGTGTTTGGGATCATTGTCATGCTGAAAGACCCAGCCACGTTTCATCTTCAATGCCCTTGCAGATGGAAGAAGGTTTTCACTCAAAATCTCACGATACATGGCCCCATTCATTCTTTCCTTTACACGGATCAGTCGTCCTGGTCCCTTTGCAGAAAAACAGCCCCAAAGCATGATGTTTCCACCCCCATGCTTCACAGTAGGTATGGTGTTCTTTGGATGCAACTCAGCATTCTTTGTCCTCCAAACACGACGAGTTGAGTTTTTTACCAAAAAGTTATATTTTGGTTTCATCTGACCATATGACATTCTCCCAATCCTCTTCTGGATCATCCAAATGCACTCTAGCAAACTTCAGACGGGCCTGGACATGTACTGGCTTAAGCAGGGGGACACGTCTGGCACTGCAGGATTTGAGTCCCTGGCGGCGTAGTGTGTTACTGATTGTAGGCTTTGTTACTTTGGTCCCAGCTCTCTGCAGGTCATTCACTAGGTCCCCCCGTGTGGTTCTGGAATTTTTGCTCACCGTTCTTGTGATCATTTTGACCCCACGGGGTGAGATCTTGCGTGGAGCCCCAGATCGAGGGAGATTATCAGTGGTCTTGTATGTCTTCCATTTCCTAATAATTGCTCCCACAGTTGATTTCTTCAAACCAAGCTGCTTACCTATTGCACATTCAGTCTTCCCAGCCTGGTGCAGGTCTACAATTTTGTTTCTGGTGTCCTTTGACAGCTATTTAGTCTTGGCCATAGTGGAGTTTGGAGTGTGACTGTTTGAGGTTGTGGACAGGTGTCTTTTATACTGATAACAAGTTCAAACAGGTGCCATTAATACAGGTAACGAGTGGAGGACAGAGGAGCCTCTTAAAGAAGAAGTTACAGGTCTGTGAGAGCCAGAAATCTTGCTTGTTTGTAGGTGACCAAATACTTATTTTCCAGCATAATTTGCAAATAAATTCATTAAAAATCCTACAATGTGATTTTCTGGAATTTCTTTTCTCAATTTGTCTGTCATAGTTGATGTGTACCTATGATGAAAATTACAGGCCTCTCTCATCTTTTTAAGTGGGAGAACTTGCACAATTGGTGGCTGACTAAATACTTTTTTTCCCCCACTGTACATATGCATATTTCCGTTAGGGAACGCCTACTCTGTGAAGTGTGGATGTGCAATAACTCAATTCGCCTTTGCACTCCTTCTAAACAACTCTTTTTTTTTTTTTTTTTTTTTACTTTTGCAAAGGTTAAAGTCTACAAAACTTAGTCCACTATGTTCATAACAGTTTTTGGGGAACAGAAAACTGTATTGTGATCAAATGTTTCATCGATGTGATAATGTGCAGAATGTCGGTCAAAATCCATCTCGTTCCATCTTCTCCCACTATCGGCCACTGGGCTTCCTCTCACCACCATATTTGGTAGTGAGTGGAAACGCCAAGCGGATGCTTCACATTTATACATCCGGTGAAATATCTGTCTCATTGTTCTATGTGTGCTAGAGATATCTGTTTTTCTGCATTGGATATGTCTCAATCCACCGCATTCACCTATGTCACACTTCGGCATCTGCAGTGAAAAGGTGACAGAGCTAGAGCTGTGTTTGTCAGACCCTGAGCCATCCCGAAAATCGGTCTTCTCACAAAATCGTCTGTAGCGTCCTAACAGTTTGGGCTACACACTAATATGACCCCTCTGTGTTTTGCTCTAGGACGCCCACAGGCCTCACAAGATTAGTCTGAAGGTCCCCGATACCAGTTGAAAAAATGAATGGAAGTATATAAGGAGACTGTTTAGTGCCAAAAATAAGGGCTTAAATACATGTAAAAAATCCAAATAATAATAATAATATCCTGATCTTTCTTATATCTCTAAGATATAGATCAGACACTTCAGAACAAACTTCCTATAGATTCTTTTTTGGGGACTATCTGGTGTTCCATGTAGTGAATCTGTTTTCAATGCGTTTGTATGGGCTAATAGCAGTAAGGCTAAATACGTACTCCTGAGTGGCGCAGTGGTCTAAGGCACTGCATCGCAGTGCTAACTGTGCCACTAGAGATCCTGGTTCGAATCCAGGCTCTGTCGCAGCCTCATGGGCGGCGCACAATTGGCCCAGCGTCGTCCAGGGTAGGGGAGGGAATGGCCGGCAGGGATGTAGCTCAGTTGATAGAGCATGGCGTTTGCAACGCCATGGTTGTGGGTTCGATTCCCACGGGGGGCCAGTATAAAAAATAAAAAAAGATATGTATTCACTAACTGTAAGTCGCTCTGGATAAGAGCGTCTGCTAAATGACTAAAATGTAAATGTATACAATTTTTCATCAAATATTTTTTGAATATATTTTTGTCAACCTCAAGGGGTCTTACAATTCAAAATGAAATAGCAAAATGATCCTTGGTATGACCTTCTTAAAACAATTCAATATAGTTTAGTAGCGGCAGGTAGCTTAGTGGCTAAGAGCGTTGTGCCAGTAATCGAAAGGTCGCTGGTTCTAAATGTAAAATGTAGATCCCCCCCCCCTTTTTTTTTATAGGATCTAATGGAATGTGTCATGATATAAATTGGATAGCATAATATCTATGGAATTCTGGATAAACTACATCTGTGCTACTTCCAAAGACAATCAGAACGGTGCATAAAAGTGTCGGGGGAAGTTATCACCAAAAGAATGCTCTATTCGATGCACCAAAAGAATGCTCCATTCGTTGCTTCTAGGATGAGTAAAGCCACCATCTCTTCAAGTGCAACGTTTTGACAAGTGCTGATATTAAAATGGTATAGTAGGCCTACCTGTTCTGCCATTTGGTTCGTTGCGCTGTCCTTTTTCGAAGTAAAATTTTCTCACTGCGACGTTCAGTAATTGTTACTTTTCTCGCTCAGCGTTCCATTGCTTCTGTCATATATTGGCAAGATTCCTACATCCTCCCACTCAAAGAAAAAAAATGTAACTGGATTCCACCTTCCGTGTCAGTCAGAGAAAGCTATTGGAAAAATTACAGTGCGCTGTGTAACCCGATGCATTGGGACTGTAAACTTCACGAGACAGATAGTCTACATGCAGTCATATAGGCCTACCAACCTTCTTTGAACTATTATTGTTTTGAAGTATTCAATGTCAGAGTGGCTTACAGAGTTGTGCATTTAAAATGTAGGCTATTCGAGAATAGAGCCCGCGAGTGCTTCACTCAACATCTGGAAACCTTTAGCAAAAGTTGGAGCAGTCTGCAAGTTTAGGGAGGAGTTTTCTTCTTTATTGTCGCAATTTTTAACCCCTCATATAGGCCAACATATTTTCTGCAGTTTCTGTAAAGCTTTGAATATCCACCCAAAATAATACATTTCTCAATATTGTAAGAAACTTGTATGAACCATGCATGGACATGTTTTTTTCGAGGTCGTTTATAATAAACGTCGTTTGTAATTGTCCATTCCAATTTCCATTAGGCCTACATTCATTTTGACAGTCATCAGAGGTTGATCAGGACATGCGAACAAAAAGCGATGCGCGCCCAATGAACAAGCACGACCACATTATTGAAAGCCGGATTAATGACCATTGACAGAGTAGTGGGTAGATATGGGACTCGATAAAACTGCTTCTGTCCACAAATTGTCATAGGCCTACTGAGTCGTTTTACATGAAAACCAGTCAACCAGGATCTTCATTATGCTATCACAAAGTCAGTGGTGTTGTAAGGGATCGGGGGTTGGCTGGGTCTAGACAGAGTCTGACACTTCCCCGATCTACTGAGAGGGGGAGTCATCAGACTCGATCTGGTTCACCTGAGTTCTGAGCACACCTGTCCGTAATTAGGGTAGGATATAAGGTGTGCTCAGAAGTTCAGTCGGTGCGAGGTATTGTTCCTTTGTGACCTGCTAAGCGTTTTTGTTCCGAGAGAGAGAGAGAGAGAGAGAGAGAGAGAGAGAGAGAGAGAGAGAGAGAGAGAGAGAGAGAGAGAGAGAGAGAGAGAGAGAGAGAGAGAGAGAGAGAGAGAGAGAGAGAGAGAGAGAGAGAGAGAGTTTGTTGTTTTGATTACCCGTGTATCCGACCTGTGCCTTGTTTGACTCCCCGAATTGCATAATCCTCTGCTTGTCTACCCCAGTGATGACCGTGCTCTGATCCTGTGCCTGTGCCCTCGACTACGACTAAGCCCGCTCCTTTGGTACCTCTGCCTGTCTATGCCTTGCCCGGTTTTGACCACAGCCCGCCCGACCACGATTAAGCTATACCCTTGTCTGTACTCTAATAAAGCATCGCTATTCTGCGATTGGATCTTACCACTCTGTCCGAGTATTCATTACAGAATACCTCGCCATTACCATAGATCCAGCGGAATTACAGAGGCGATGGGAGATACAGGAGAAACGGATGGATGAACTCCTACAGCTACTCCACGCTGGTGCGGCTGAAGGCACCACACCGAGCACGGTCAGTCCTCGTCATGCACCTCCGATTTCTCTACCTACAAGGTACGACGGGGAACCTGGCAAATGTCAGGGGTTTCTACTCCAGATGTCCCTGTATCTGTCATATAATCGTACTATGTTTTCCGATGACCGTAGCAGGGTGGATTTCATGATTTCTCTGCTAACGGGAAGAGCACTGGATTGGGCTACTGCGCTTTGGGCAGCTGAGGTCCCCGAGCTGAATGCGGAAGTTCAGTTCAAGAGACTGTTTCAAGAGGTGTTCGACCACCCAGTATCTGGGCGTAGTGTGGGAGACCAACTGTGCGAACTTCAGCAGGGCCGTCGCACAGTAGCCGACTACGCTTTAGAGTTCCGTACTATAGCAGCCGGTAGCGGATGGAGCGAGACTGCTTTGCTCACAGTTTTCCGAAGAGGGCTGCGCAAAGACGTACAGACTGAGTTGGCTTGTCGAGGAGATATCACTGCGCTACATGAGTTTATCAAAATAGCCATCGCTATTGATAATCTTATAGTGCAACACAAGGCATCCACTGTTCGGGAGCCCTCGATCACTGGTCCTATGCAATCGACAGAGCGGAGGAGAGAATCTGAGGAGGAACCTATGCAACTGGGACGGTCACCTCTACAAGGGTCGGTGAGACAACAACGTCGGCAAGACGGACTATGCCTGTATTGTGGTCAGTGGGGTCATTTCGTTCGTCAATGTCCGGTACGACCTAACCGTATCCCAGGGTATCGCCTCGGAACTGTCAAACCGGTGAGAGAGACTCCCGTTTTGAACATTACATCAAAACAAATGTATGTACCTGTTACCTTATCTGTCGGAGAGAAAGTGCGCAGGTTGGAGGGACTTATTGATTCCGGAGCGGCGGCCAGCTTTCTGGATATGGGTCTTGCTGAGGAGTTGGGAGTCCAACTTATCCCAATTCAACCTCCCCTGCGAGTCAACGCGCTAGACGGTGAGCCCATGGGCACTGGGTTCATTACGCACCGTACCGGGGAAATCAAGTTACAAGTGGGCTCCCTGCACCATGAGAACATCATTCTGTTCGTCATCTCCGCTCCACGGGAGCCGCTAGTCCTCGGCCACCCCTGGCTCGTTACCCATGATCCGGTCATCTCCTGGAAGTCTGGCGATATCACGGCTTGGAGTGAGGTATGTAGGGCTGAGTGCCTCATTTTACCTTGCAAAACGTCTACTGTGGAGGATGCGAAGGGTGCGGTGTCTACTGTTGTTCCTACAGAGTACCAGGATTACGCGCAGGTGTTCTCCAAGGAGAGGGCTACCGTGTTACCACCGCATCGGGCCTGGGATTGTGCAATTGATCTGCTATCCGGGGCTACACCTCCTCGCGGACGAATCTACCCTTTGTCACAGCCGGAACGGGAATCAATGAGCAAGTATATTGATGAGGCACTTCAGCAAGGGGCCATTCGCCCATCTACGTCTCCCGCGGCATCCAGTTTTTTCTTTGTTAAGAAAAAGGATGGCGGACTGCGTCCTTGTATAGACTATCGAGGTTTGAACGATATCACCATTAAAAATCGTTACCCCCTTCCTTTGATTCCAGCAGCCCTCGAGCAGGTGGGGCAGGCCTCCATCTACAGTAAACTGGACCTCAGGAGTGCGTACAATCTGGTGTGCATTAGAGAGGGGGATGAATGGAAGACCGCCTTCATCACCCATCGAGGACATTATGAATATTGTGTCATGCCCTATGGACTTACTAACGCGCCCTCTGTGTTCCAGGCGTTCATGAATGACATTTTTAGGGACTTGATTGATCGCTTCGTCATAGTGTACATTGATGACATCCTAATCTACTCTAACTCTCTGAGAGAACATGTGTCCCATGTACGACAGGTTCTGGACCGACTCCGCCAACACTCTCTGTTCGTGAAGGCCGAGAAGAGTGAGTTCCATGTCACGACGATTTCCTTCCTTGGGGCCATACTCACTCCCGACGGGGTAAGACTGGATGAATCCAAGGTACAAGCTGTACGAGACTGGCCTCAACCCCAGACGGTGAAAGAGCTTCAGAGGTTCTTGGGGTTTGCCAATTACTATAGACGGTTCGTGCGTAATTTCAGCACCACCGCAGCTCCCCTGTCGGCGATGACCAGCCACAAGGGGCGTGGTCTGAAATGGACGGAGGGGGCAGTGCGGGCTTTTGAGACATTGAAACAACGATTTACCACTGTCCCCATTTTATGTCAGCCGGATCCTACCTTGCCGTTCATCGTGGAGGTGGACGCCTCGGAGGTTGGAGTTGGAGCCGTGCTATCCCAGCGCCAAGGTGAGCCTCCCAAATCACGACCCTGTGCTTTTTTTTCGAAGAAGCTGAATCCGGCCGAGCAGAACTACGATGTGGGAAATCGTGAATTACTGGCGGTGAAGTTAGCGCTGGAGGAGTGGAGACATTGGCTGGAGGGAGCAGCTCATCCGTTCCAAGTGCTCACGGACCACCGCAATCTGCAGTATCTTCACAGTGCTAAACGGCTGAACTCCCGACAGGCAAGGTGGTCTTTGTTCTTCAACCGTTTCCAATTCACTGTTTCTTATATTCCCGGGTCCAAGAATTGTAAGGCTGACGCGCTTTTCCCGACGGTTCGAGCGCGCTGACAGACCGGTTGAACCAGAACCTATCCTCCCCATGAGTTGCCGTGCTGATCCTGTGAGGTGGGCTATCGATGACACAATTCAGGAGAGCCTACAAGCAGAACCAGCCCCTCCAGAAACCCCGGTGTCGAAGGTGTTTGTACCAGCTCCGCTTCGACCTCAACTGATGGAATGGTGCCACATGTCGCTAGGATCTGGTCATCCCGGAATCACTCGAACTACACGACTCATCAGTCGAAAATACTGGTGGGATTCCCTCACAGATTACGTCAGAGACTACGTATTATCCTGCCCGGTATGTGCTCAGTCCAAGGCGCCTCGAGCACTACCGGAGGGTAAACTGATGCCATTGCCAACTCCTCAACGACCCTGGTCGCACATTGCGATGGACTTTGTTACCGACCTACCAGAATCAGAGGGCCATACTGTAATTCTCGTGGTCATCGATCGATTCTCAAAGATGTGTCGGTTAGTACCCATGACCCGTTTACCTAACGCCACTCAGATGGCGGAGACTATGTTTAACCAGGTGTTCCGGCAGTTTGGTGTTCCAGAGGATATTGTTTCCGACCGGGGACCCCAGTTCGTATCCCGGGTTTGGAAGGCCTTTTGCGAACGTTTGGGCATCTCGGTGAGCCTCACCTCCGGGTATCATCCCCAGGCCAATGGGCAGACAGAACGGCTCAACCAGGAAATTGGGAAGTATCTACGGCAACAATGTTCGCGGCAGCCGCAAGAGTGGAGCCGATTCCTTCCTTGGGTAGAGTATGCTCAGAACTCACTCGTTCACACCTCCCTACGTCTAACGCCCTTTCAGTGTGTTCTAGGGTATCAACCACCCCTGTTTCCGTGGGATACCGCACCCGGGATGGTACCGGCGGTG